ACCACCTGCCCATGCCGGCAAGGCTGTCGATAGCTCCTTCGTTCAAGGGTTGCTTACCGAGCCGCTAGGAGGTATAAGGAAGTATTACGAAGCATAAAAGAAAATATGGTAAAAAACATCACCGACTTACTGGATGAGGAAGCGGCGGAACTGGTTGCCGAATTATTATTATCAGGTGATATCTGTAAAGTAGACACAAACGAATCTGGCTCGGCTTTCAGATGCGATAGTGCGAACATCATCTGGCGACGCAACGACGATATGCGCTTCTCAGAAATTAGCATCGAGACATTATGCGACAATTCCAGTGGATCCTAGACAAATCAGTTAAAGCAATCGCGAAGATTTAAAAATATTTCAAGCAAAAGAGGAAAAAAAAAGTAGCAAAACCACGAAAAAACGAAAAAATAGCAAAAAAAAAATAATGATTCTGCGCTCCAAAGAGGTACAACTAATTATGCAAAAATCTTGATAAAAAAAATAATGTAGTATCATCATTAGAATCTGCTGTCTTTTTTTCAGCAATTTATTTCCTTCAAAGTAATTCAAGTAATACTATCAGTCAGCGAGACATTTTACCGTGATATAACAGTAGCAGTAATCGGAACAAGGTAGTGATGCTCATACACAGAGATATTTCGGAATGGCTAAAACTTCGTTAAATGCTTTTTTCGCCTGAATCGCTGAGCTAGTAATTCTTCCTTCAAAAACCGGAACAACTGTCAGGATGGCAGAATGCCGATGCAGGCCTGGTCACAGTAACTGGAGGTGGTGTCTGCTGCACAATTCGAGAACCAATTAACTTAAGTGTCCAAAGCGGGCCAGTGAAGAGCCCATTTTTTACCAATAAAACGTTCATTCAAAAAAAACCCCCTCCAAATAACACTACAGAAAGATGGAACGAAACGATGTCATTCAAGGATCGGTAATGCCGACAACCATTACTATGGACTGCATTGACGAACTTCGCAATGACGAACCTTTCACCACTCAGTACTTCTTAACATAGTGAGATCAAAGTGTTGTACCCGTCCAATAAAACATAATCTTATCGCAAAAAATATAAATAGCGGCGCGCACGAGGGCAGCCGGTGTGATCACGCGTTTTGTGTAATTCAGCCCATCGAACGATTGCCTATTAATGTTTTTCACTGCTTTGTACTTTAGTCTATGCATAAATAGTTCAAACATTGGAAAAGAGTTAAAAATTTCACGCACCAGCGCATGAAAGCTGAATTCGAAACCTTGAAGGATGAATATCTTTCCGTGATTTAAAAATTTCACGCACCTGCGTATGAAAGCTGAATTCGAAATCTTGAAGGATGAATATCTTTCCGTGATTCCCGAGTTAATAGTTTACCCGTCAAAAATCTCACAAAGCCGTAAGTGGTACGCGAGAGCGCGAGGACACTGAATTTGGATGAGAAAGGTTGAACGTGGGCAGGGGGTCATTACCTTAAAACTTCAGCCTCCTAGACTCCGTGGTTCCCGAGATATTAACTTACCCGCAAAAAACTTTCACAGGGCTGTACGCGTTACCCGCGGGTACGGAGAAGCTGAATTTAAATTTGGGGGGTCACACGTGGGTGGGGAACGTTCCCCTAAATTTTCAGCTTCC